TTAAGACTAAGCAATACAAACATCACCCAAAAACTGTGGGTGATCTCAGGTGTTTTGGAAGGATCAACAGATCATCATGTAGCACCCGTCGTATAGCTAAGTACAAACCCGGTGATAAGTCTAATTCGGTAGGTCATATTTCCCTAACAGTCGACCAACTCGTGATGGCGTTTGTAAAATTTATGAAGGAATGAACTTCACCACTTGAAACTCTTGGTTGAATAGCTTCCTTTTGAGCAGCAATACTCTATCATGGAAATCATGAAAGGAAATGACAACACTGGAATATTGTACAGCTGGGAGATACTCCATATGCAGGTGCTGTTGGAATGATGTTACAAAGAAATCTCATTTTATCGTCAATCATAATTGATGATCAATTAAAATCACTAATGGTATGGAATTTTTCTGTTTAAAATTTACTATTTTACAAAATTTTGTTTACATGCATTAAAACATAAAATAATTTTTCAAACCAAAATTTCAGGTTTTTTTTTACAGAACTTTCCACGGAATACCTGTACCAAGTAAGGAACATGGCAGTTGTTTTCCATTCGTTTGATGTGTTTGAGCTTTTGATTTTGACATTTGATAAGGAACTTTCCGTTTTGAATTTTCCTTGGAGTTCGGTTCTTTTGTTATTTTACTTTTTTCTACAGAAACTTCCACTGTCTCCCTTTACTCGCTTTATTGTGCTAGAATTTAAAAAAAAATCCAATAACAATAAGTCACGTTTTAATAAGATTGCAAAAAATAGTCCATAAATGACTTCACAGAAAACCAAAAATTAAGTAATACGAATCAAGTAAAAACGGAGGGAAACGCATGTGCTGCTGAAGGGTAACCAGTTCCTACAGTTGTACTACATCAGTGGCATCCATTTTGTTTGTGATGGTAAGTAAAGACGGTGTTGAGACGCAATTAGGATCGATTAACAATCAACCAAATCATAATAGCGTTAGCAAAGCTTCAGAAGAGATGACTTCAACTTAACCATTTAAACCCTTGGTTCAATTGTTTCCTATTCAGCAATAACTCTCTTTCTAGGAAATCATGATAGGAAAAGCAATTCCTGGAATGTCATATCAACTGGAAGATAAATACTCGAATGTACAATGAAATAATTTGAATTTGTTCTGAACCAACCAACGTCAAATTTTGGATGTGTGTCAAGATATGTAATCTTGTCATACTAGTAATAATTGATAATTTTGGGCTAAGCTTAACGCATGAATCTTATCAATGATGTTAAAGAGAGACGAAGGAATTCAAAGGAACATCCAAATTCAGAAGTCGAAAACAAACTGACAACACCATGGCAAAAAAACAACAAAATACGACCAAAAGACAAAAAACAGTATACAAAACACAACATAAAAAACTAGAGATTGTTCAATACAAACCCCACCAAAAACCGGGTTTGATCTCAGGTGCTCCGAACGAACCTGCTCCACATGTGGCACCTGTCGTGTTTCTCATATAAGTACAAACCCTGTGATAAGTCTAACTTGGTAGGTCACATTTGAAGAAGAGAGGACGGGATTGTGGTTACGACAATTGGAACATATCCGTCGTCATCTGTGAAACAGATCTTCTATTAAGGTCAAACAACTCTTGATGGCGTCCGTAAAATTTTCAAAGGGATGATTTCAACTGCACCACTTGGATCTCTTGGTGTAATAGCTTCCTTGTGAGCAGTAACACTCTATCAAGGAAATTTTTATCGGAAATGCAAACTCTGGAATAGCGTATCAACATATGCAGGCCCTGATGAAATGTTACTACATAGAAATGGAAAGTTCACAATTGCGTTAAAATCCATTGGTGGCCTTTTGCTGTTTTCTGCTTTTTGGTCGGGTTGTTGTCTCTTTGACACATTCCCCGTTTCAATTCTCTATTCTAATCAATAAAAATATTTTTCTTCTTATTCAAAAAAAAAATTTGTAATTTAAACTTTTCATGTAGTTTTTCATTAGTACTCTCATTGATTACATAGACTTATCTAAAAGCTCTTTCTTGCATTTTCCCCAAATTTAAAAGATTTTTTTTCACAACAGTAGTACCAGTTCACATACGATTATGCTTTTCAAAGACTGCTTATGACGTCTTTACACTAAATGCGTTGGAGGTGCACTAATTGGTAGTTTAGCTTCGGAAAACACGGTATTTTTATTGGCTAGAATTTGGGCTTTGAAGTAGCTTTCACCAACTGTGAGTAATCTTAGATCGGTATTTTCGTTGGTCTTTTGTCATTCCCTGCTTAATTCCGGTCTGTTGAGTCACTACTGATATAAAAGAGTTGAGATGGATAACATTCTTTGTAAATTAAAAAAAATCTGAATTATTTATAGAGAGAACATAATCTATTTGCATAGTTTCAGGTCAACCCACAAGTTCTTTTTGGCATAGAAAATTGTCATCCCTGAAGTTTTTCAGTAAAACCTTTTCTAAAGTGGGGCGTTGAACTGGTTGCACTGGATGTATAATTACGCAGCCACGTCCAATCCGTATGTCAAAGTTACCTCCAAAGTCCGTATAGCGTGATTGTCGCAGTTTCGTAACGTAAAAGAAACATTCCAACAACTCTACGAAGGTTCATTACGTCACCTGTTGCATAACAAAAGTCTATCGTTATCCAGAACGCTATCCTGTTCCTTTGACAGTTTAAATTTCCAATCCTTTATCCCGATCGACGTACCCTACATAACCTACATATTGCATTAATTGTTAAGTTGTTCTCGTCCTAAATATTTGTCACTTGACTGTAACGAAGCGACAATCATTCAATCGATCGTTAAAGTAAGATGAGTAGGTATTCATCAAATAGTGTGAATACTGCATGCAAAATAATGTATAAGTACTTTTAAGTAAGCCAAACTACAATTGTTGATTTTAGCAACAACACAAACCCACAATAAACAACAGCATAAACATAAACTTTAAAGCAGATTTGCATGAATTGTCCAAAAAGGTGGTTCAACGAGGCACTGGTTAGCGATATGATCCCAGATTTGTGAAGAACTAATGTGAAAAGATTTCAACTCATACCCAATATTTCTGACTCTGTTTTTGACTGTCGTTTCTTGTCATCTACAAATATAGTTCTAAGTTTGAATAAGGAGAAAATAACTTAAGATTACTTGAAATATATTCTTAAGTTTTATGAAAATAAATTTTGATTTTCCAGTAGGTTTTATATAAGTACTACAATATGTTCTATAGATAATCTTAGAGATTTTTCTACTATTTTTTCTTTTCGAAGGATATTTTTTCTCACTACAATTTAATCAATGAACACAAATTCATGTTTTCACACACTGCCTATGAAGTTTTTACACTTAATCCGTTGAATGTGTACTGATTGACATTTTAGCCTGGAAAAACACATGGTCTTTTTTTTTTGCTGGAATTCGGCTTTGAATTAGCATTCAGTATCTATGAATGCTCTTAGATCTGTACTTTGTGATGTTTGTCATTTTCTTTGTTATTTGAATCATACTTCCACAATAAATTTCTTAATGGCTGGTAATTTTTTTTTTTCAATTTTCCAGTTGCAGTTCAAGTTTCATAAACTTCATTTCTGTCGTTAGCCCTTACAGATCCTGTATATTGTACTCATTATTAATTTGCTGTCGTCCCGAATATGCATGCAATATCTGTCACTTGACGTTAAACACGCACCGATCAATCAATCTTTGAAGTCAGACTTTTGAGAAGGCATAAATCACCAAATTCTACAAATAACAACATGTTATCAGTATTCTAATGTAGGAAAACAAGTTTGTTTAACATATCCTCAAGGCGAATGATGTTTAAACAAAATCGTTCCTTATCCAAGATATTCCCATTTTCCCCAGAGGCAGTCTAAATTCTAAAACGTTCATTCCTGTCGACATTCCTTGCAGTACTAATAGTTAATTTGTTCTCGTCGAGAATATGTATGACATATTTGTCACTTCACATTAAGCACGCATTAGTAAGACTTTTGAGAATGCATGCATTTAGTTGTGTTAATAGTGAATGCAAAATAAGGTGTATATGAATATATCATTTTAAATAAGTAACATTATCAATGTAAATGATAATAACAACAAACAAAAAAAAAGACGGTCCTCCGCGACGGTGAATATGCAACTTATTCCAGATTTGTGAAGAATTATAGGACATATTTCAAACCACACCTGAAATTGTTGACTCTTCCTTTGACTGCTGCCCCTTATGATCTACAATCATGGTTTTGAATTTTAATATTATCTAAAAATATGGGTAAATACTTGGAAACTTGTTATTAGTTTTCTTAAATGTTATAGTATCAATAGTTTTCTTCGAGTTTTTAAACATAGTTATTTAGATTTTTCCAGTGGATTTTCATAAATTCTATAATAAATAACATTGATGAATCTAAGAGCTTTTTCTTGTATTTCACCTCATGTTAAAAGTATTGTTCTAATCTTTAGTAGTGCCAAGTTACAAAACAACAGTTAAAATTTGAAAGAATAAACGCGTTAAAACTTGTTTATTCACCTATATAAAATTGAGAAGACGTTGATTTATTGCCAATTACCCTTTAGAGACCAAGTGATATGAATGTATTATAAACCATCTATACTAGCCTATTTATATATTCCACTTTCCGTTTTAGAATAATTAACTATCATTATAAAGTCTAAATCGATAGTTATGCAGAAAGTTCAAAACAATTCCATAAAAACAATACTCCAATATGAGTAAAATTTGTCACTGAAGTTTTTGATTGAAAACTATAGGAGCAGTTGATAACACAAACTTTCTTAAAAAATTGATAGACAAATGTTTCGAAGTTTAAAAAAATAGGAACATTTTCATAGAAAAAATCCATTACAGCAGGGATACACTTCAATACGAGGATCTTATTACACAACATTATCTTCCACTGCTTATTGCCCTTCCATTTGCCAGGCTTCTTGACCACCCACCCGGCCAACACCAACTTACTTGGTTTTTTTTTAGAACGCCCGTAACACCCAATAACAATAGCTCCAACACCACCAGACCCCAGTATTCCAGTTATAACACCAATAAACTCCGCAATTGTTCTATAATAAAAAAAGAGTCGAATGATGAATCTTTCATCAATAAAAAGTTGAGGTGGAAAACCCTAACTTAATTATGATGATTATGTAATATATTGCAAATATGGAAATTTTTTCTTGACTCTATGTGTTTCTGACAAGGAAGGTCAATAGAAGTCGAACCCTGGAATTATGTGACTTTTAAAAAATGTTATAATATGACATAAAGGGGCACCAAAGTTGCCCTCTGTTTATGGTTCAATGATCAACGATAAGTTTTTGCATTAAATTTAGTTTTGTGGTTACAAAAGTATACAAATCAATATTTGTTCGATAGAATTGTCTTTAGACATTAAGTATGAAGAATTTGGTGGTATACGTTAATAAGACAGCAATCCTAAGACACAAAAAACCAAACCACATATGTGTAGATGTCCGTCTGTAAGGGTTGAACTTACCTGGACCTCATTTTGAGATTAAAATGATAAACCGCAATTTTTTGTGCTACGGTTAAATTTTAGGTTACTATGGGTAATATACCAGTGGTAGCTTATAATGATATGGTTCTAATTATAAATTAACTGATTATAAACTTTGAATTTGTCGAAATACTTAGGATTTTCTACCCCAGAATTAGATTACCTTAGCTGAACTTGACAAAACCTTTTGGAATTTCGTGTCCTCAATGCTCTCCAACTTCGTACTAAATTTGGCCTTTTAAACTTTTTTGATTCGAGCGTCACTGATTAGTCTTTTGTAGCCAAAACGCACGTCTAGAGTACACACATTTTATTCTGGTATCTATGATGAGTTTATTTATTAACTGTAAGGTGTACTCTTGTATCTTCTAAACTTCAGCTGACTAAGACATCAATTCATGGTTCAATACTAAATATTCATTTATCATGGTTAAATTAGTTTTACAATATACAAGTTAGACAAGTCTTTCTTTAGAATATTCAGATAGATTGTAAAATGAGAATAAGCGTTAGTTTTCTCGATTGAATTTTTTCGCATTTGTCATTTCGGGGACTTTTATAGCTATGTGGTATGGGTTTAACTTGTTCATTGTTGAAGGCCTTAAGGCAACCTATAGTTGTAAATTTCTATGTCATTAGGTCTCTGGTGGAGTGTTGTCTCATTGGCAATTATATATATAGGGAATTTTTTAACGACCTTGACTGGTTATACAGCCCTTGCACGGTCGGACAATTATACGAAATCTTCTTCTTTTTATATTAATTCGACCTCATTTGGGTCCGTATGCAGTTGACCCTGAGGTGGAGATCGGTTTTGCATTTTCTCAGTCTGTTCGATTGTTATAAAGAAACGATTGTCTAAATTGAAAAAGAAACAAGGGAGCCCTGATTGAGAACAATATCCTTGACTGACAAAAAAAATCTGCTTGTCATATATATGATTATATCGGGTCACATGACAATCGGCAGTCTTTGGAGGTCATTTCAGTGGATTATTTGAATAGCGCTAAGTCCTAAAATACGCACAAAATTTGAATACTAAATTACTATTTCATTCATTGTTTATTGTTTCTTACGGATCTTTTTCCTCTTTTAAATGTAATTTATATATATATTGTATTGCAAATGTACAATGAATTCCCGAATGTATACAACTTGTTCTCTATGCAGTAAAACCTGATACTTTATACCAGTTTAATGCGGTTTTATATCCATTTTTATCACATTGGTGTTATTATAGTTCTTGAAATGTCATGGCGGTTAGTAAGGCTATTTGAGAAAAACGTGAGTACCCAAATTGAAACATCGGGCTTAGAGAGTTATGTGATAAAATAGTATCATATATCTACATGAAGCAACATGTTTTACACTAGAGGCATATTTTTGGTTTTACAACCGACCTTCATTGTCAATATCAATATATTCGTTCAACATAGTCAACATAGACAACAAACTTAGAATTACCAAGTGATTAAACATCGTCTTTATAGTGGAACGTGATGTTAAAGGATATAATTCTTCATGAGAAGATCCCGTATGAAGTATGCCTCACATGAATAAAGGAACAAGTTAGCAAGAAGAGGAACACTTAGAAATACCGATTGTTTTGGACAATAACGTCCTCCAAACGTTACAAATATGTCATCACGAAAAAATTCAAACATCTTTGATTATGTCAGTCTCATAGAATTATTTGTTTGAATCGGATAGTTTTTCTTTTTTCAAAGAATGATTTATCACTTTCGAATACTAGCTCTTTGTATCTACCATTGTCTACATTTGCCATTTTTTCCCAATGAAACAAATTAGGACTTATTGTTTCAATCTATCAATAACTCATAATTGAGAATACTAGTGTAAAGGGTAAACTTTTTGAGAATAAGTGGAAAGAGACTTAGATTATATGTACTCTAACAGATCTGTGGAGTTATCTAGTATCCACATCTGAATCACACCTCCCCAAGAGTAGGTATTTTCACAGCAACGCTGAAGCCTGGCTTTTATCGCTGATATACTTGGTGTTTATAGTTTGGAAAGATGTTTCGTGGAGCAATATAAAGTTGTTTGTATGTACACCTATGTAATTTTGGTGTCCAGTACTGTAAAGTAAGATCCAGTTCTACATTTTTGGTTGAGCTTCCAAAGAACATACAATAGACCTATTTTTGTTCAAGATTTCCTCTTTTGTGACTGTCGTGGGAATGTATGATGAGTTTTCAAGTCAATAGTCAATATCTAATTCCGTTATCAAGCAGTTTATGTAATGTCATTTACACACAAACCCAATGTTATTCGGGGATTTATCTGCTTTGTCTTCATACTGAACATTATATATGATAAAAATTGACCAAGCACACGGTGATTTAATGGTCGAGTAGGATTTACCCGGCATATCTATTTGGAATGTCCTACTCATATTGAATTATATAGGTAAATACGTTCTGACACATTATTTCATTCAAAGTAGTATTCTGCTTTGCTAGAATTGTCTGCACATTATACGTATACTTTTTCAATAAAACAAAATTAGAATCGCAAACTGTATTCACATTACATCATGTGTATAATTAAGATTCCTAATTGAAAGTTGTGTTTTGATAGAGAAATGTTTGTTTTGCCTAATAACACTAATAAGTTCCTTTAAAAAATTTTGCTGAAGGAGAGTCTGGATTCTCACGAGTTGTTAGAACATACTCACCCATTATCGTCTAATGGAAAATCAGTATTTTCCATTCTGTTTTTCATAGTACATGACTTTCCATGAACTATAAAATGCTATACATGAATAAATTTTCATTGTGGATTTATTATCAAAGTGAACTACTAAAAACTGCACTAACAAAGGGTATAATCCCCTCGAGGCAATTTCCATAGAAAAAGATAAAAAGAAAAAAATCATGAGTACTGTTGTTTGTCTAATTATTATAAATGAAACAGGAGAAAAGATAATAAAAAACATTTTAAGTTGAGATTTCAATATTGTAAAGCTTATATAATGGTACATTATACAACAAACAGACAAAAAAGAATTGAAAATTCGACAAAGGTGTTGGTAAAATAAATGTTAATCTAATTTTTATACGAGAACTTAAAATCAGTGTTTTTTTTTTTTTATAGAAACAGTGTTTTTTTTATAGAAACAGTTTTTTTTTTTATAGAAACAATAACTGTTGATATATAGAGCAAAGGAAGTTTTTAAACAAAACACAATACATTCATCAGTAAAATAATAAACATCTGCTGTTGAAACGATTGTAATTCAAAAATCAATTGATAAAGTTTTGTCATTATTGAAAATTATGCAATTTTAGAAAAGGTGATTTATATAACATCGTGTGCTTTTTAAAATGAAGAAATTCAGATATATACGTATTAAATTGTACCTGAAGCAGAAGAACTCTCCAAATTTGAATAATTTATCCTTTTTTGTTATCACAAAACTTTCTCATTGCTATTTCATTCTATCTGTCGTAATGACCATTACCTATGATTTACATCTCTTTTACTAAACATTTTAACACTTAAAGTGAGTTCATATTAAGGATTGATTATTACAATGGATAGGCTTATTTTGTTATATCACTCAAAGGTGAATATGTTTTAAATTGGTCAGATAACTCTTGGTCATGTTTTATGAACATTCAAAACCCTCGGCTATGCATCGGGCTTTATATATTCATAAAACATGATCAAGTATTATCTAAGTTATACTTAAACCTATTTCTCTTATGAGCAGCAGAATCGTTGATCTAGTCTTTTGCACTTACCATTGTGACGACATATGTCCTGTTCCGGCGTCAAAGTTTAACATCAGACATTTTAAAACTTTTTGTACTCTGCAGAATGTAATAAAATTTGTCAAAAAGAACATTTCCAGGTTAAAAGTGGGATAGTTTTGTATATTATTGAAGAAATCACATATATCCGTTGCCATGGATGAAATGTGCATCGTCTTAACCTTTGAAAATTATCAATGACCCAACGAATAGCCAATGGCAATGTCGTAATATTGTCTCATGATGCTAGATAAGCCAATCAAATTAACGCAGTTTTCATATCACTTTTTCGTATCACATTCCATGCAGTGTGATACGAGAATTATCCCTTAATGCAAGAAATGGATAACATGCCACAACCATAAGATAACTGAATGTATGGATTAGTAATATTTGTTTTGTATTTCATTGAAAATAAAGTAAACACTACCAGGAATTATATCTTGTTTCTTTGTGTTTTGGGAAGATTTTTGTTCACATACATGTATGTAAAAACAAAACATATTATAAATGAGACGTAACAGTGTACCATTATTAAACCTATGAATAACTATTTCGTCATAATTTATATTTGGAAAGGTGTTCTTTAAGGTAGCACAATACAAAGATTTTATACCTCCAACTCCCCAGTTTTAAAATGCTGTAACTTTCTTTATAATGCTTGAAAATTTATAAAAGTGGTATTTATGGATAGCTAACAGATTACTCTTTCAAATTAATGTAATGTTAGTATTATATAACAATTAAGTAATTAATTATAATTTTAACTGTGTCTACAAAATTTTACAAGAAATTTCCACTTTCAATTGAAATTAGCTTCTTCATGGATACCCCGAGAGGATTGATTTTATAATATGTTGTTCCTAGAGCCATTATCTACAAAAGGGGTCTCAGATTTTGGATAGAATGTATAGATCAAATTTTACACCTAATAAAATAATCTCTACTTTTATGTGGTAAGGATGTTTACACTAATTACAGATTTATAAGAGAATGGAATACGATAGCGATAATTTGAGACATCCTTTTGTAGCTCCTGCTGTGTTGATTAAGATAATGTTAAAATTTCTTGTGTAGTTATAGAGATGTCAGAGCTAAATTCATTTAAGTGAACTGACCAAGATTTTGCCATTAATTGCATAATAATTGATTACATAATGATTGCATAACAAAAATATTGCATTCATTTAAAAGATTAATCTTTTATCTATCTATATATACCTCTTTTATTAATTTGTATGCAGTCATAAGAAAGAAACATCATTTTAAAGGTTGGAGATTGGAAGTAAAAAAATCTTTGTATTGTGCTACCTTAAAAGGACTAAAACGTTCGTTTTATGAAGAAATGGATACTCACAAAGCCTCTTCAAGACTTATTGATGCTCCAATAGGTACAATAGGTTCGCCTATGTCAATGGTGTCATTATATGAAAAAGAAAAATAGTAACAATTTGAAAACATTCTGTTTGTTACAAGGACTAAATTTGAATGTGTAGGAATAATTTATATTATTATCATATACATATACAACATTAAACCTGAGGAATAACTTTGCTTTGAGATATCTTTTTTGTTAATTGTTTTATTTGTTCTCCCGCATGTGTTGAAACATTTGCTACTGGCCGTTAACCAATTAATCAATTCATTGATAGATTTTAGCCTATAAAACTCTCAAAATGTGGAAAGAATCAAACTTTAAAAAACGATATTATTTTTTATAAACCGTACTATAGCTATTATGCTGCTTACATAACTGCATTATTACAAAGTCATAGAAATTCCTAAAATATACAATAAAATAGAAACAAAACAAAACAAGTCTTCTGATATAACAGACAGAAGAATTTTCGGACATTTGTTTCTCTTATTTGTAAAATCAGGTAAAATTTCATGATTTGAAACACATAAGAAGATGACTGTCATGTACGTCAAAACGATAATTAAAAAAAGTATTATTGCTAATGGTATGAACAACAAATTTATTTATTTTGTAAAGAATATCTCCATACTACTAACAACAAAATTATTATATTTAAATTTACCTGTGTACGTTATTTTATTTGTCCAAGGTTATAGTTGTCTTTTTGACATTGTTTCACATCCCCTCTTTTTTATTTAATATTGTATTTATATTGTGTCATAGATCAAATTTATTCGTTCAGTGTATGTTTACTTGTTTTTGTTAATATGTCTTTTTGATTGAGTAAAGCCATTTCAATTGATATTTTATAGTGTGTCTTTCTATGTTTTAATGTTACACTACTAGTTCAGTTTAGGGTGAAGGTTGACGCCTGTTAAAACGTTTAAACCCGCTGCATTTGTTTGCACCTGTCCTAAGTCAGGAACCTTTTTCAGTGGTTGTCGTTTGTTGATGTGGTTATTAAGTGTTTCTCGTATCTCATTTTTTATATAGATTAGAAGGTTGGTTTTCCTGTTTGAATTGATTTACACTAGTCATTTTGGAGCCCTTTATAGCTTGCTGTTCGGTGTGAGCCAAGGCTCCATGTTGAAGACCTTACTTTGACTTATAATTGTTTACTTTTTACACATTTTGACTTGGATGGAGAGTTGTCTCATTGGCACTCATACCACATCTTCTTATTTCTATATACATAGATAGTATGGATCAATGGTATATGGTTAATCTGCCTGCAGCAAAAAAAAAAAAACAAAAAACAACCAAAAAACAACAAACAAAAAACAACAACAACAAAAATTAAAACAAACAAAACAAGATCTAACTTTGTTAACTTTCACGATCTATAAATAAGTTGAGCAAAACTTTGCTTAATCTTCAATCAGAGAGTGGAAAATATCAGGATATAATTCGGTTCATGGGTATGGGGAATGAGGAAATATATGGAGTTCATAAAGAACTTAAAACATTAGTTTCACGATTTATATAATATTTGTATAAAAAGTATAACAAAAATACGGACATTAAGGCAAATTCAAAAAGAGGAAGTTCATAGAAATTTGACAAAAAATCAAACGTTTTCAACCAACGGAACGAGTTAAAAACAATTAACATATTCCTGACTTGGTTCATGCAAACACGAATTGTCTGTTGTGCCGTTTTACATTCATGGAACTTATTCTATGTATAACTGGTAAATTACTTAGTCAGGAATTTCTTTATCACTAATTATTTAAAACCTTTACTAAATTCTGTCAAAGATACCAAGGATTGTTTTGGAAGTTTGTCTATACCTTCGAAACGGGATATCACATCTTAATGTTAACGGTATTTTTTTGTGGATTCCGAAAATTGAAATACGATCCATATAGACCTCTGTACGTCACTATCGAGTACAGTGTTATATATATCAACTTTCTTCACTACATAATTATAACAATAAATGAACTTACCACAGTTACCAGAGAACAGAAAAATATGGTCCAAAGCAATATCTCCTTTGTAACCACTTCCATCGATACCATTAAAAATAATCTAGAATATTTTATTATTATAATTGACATATAACGAAAATCGTACAAACAATTTCAAAACATTTCAGAAAGTCTAAATCCACAGGTCAATATGCGAAAATGAAAACTAATGGCAACGAGATAATGAAATAACCTCTCCCGTGAAAAAAAATACTTCTAATTAAGAAAAAAAGAAACAAAACAAAACAAAACAAAAGTGTTGTTATGATCAAACATGTATTGTCCGTTGTGACATTAAAATTTCATAGAACGTAATCTCTGTATAAGTGGTAAATTATTAATCAGGCATTTCGTTACACAAACTACTTAAAACCTTTTCTTAATTCTATCAAAAATACAAAGATTTGATTTGGAAGTTTGACAATACCTTAGTTTGACCTTTTTAGCCTTTTTTGATTTGAGCGTCACTGATGATTCTTTTTTCAGACGAAACGCGAGTCTGGCGTACACAATTTCAATCCTGGTATCTATGACGAGTTGATTTAGAAACCGGATATCACATCCTATAGTTTTTACGGTGTTTGTTTTTAAAGATCCCAAAAATTGAGATTCGATACATATAAACTTTTTGATCCTTTAAATTAACTGATTCACAAAGGTTATTAATCTAAAACTGTAGTTATATCTTTGAATATTGTATTTATCGGTACTAAAAATCACCAAAGATACCAGGCTTATAATTTGGTACGCTAGACTCGCGTTTCGTCTACATAACATTTACCAGTGGCCGTCGAATCAAAAAAGTTCAAAGGCCAAATCAAATACGAAGTTGAAAAGCATTAAAACCATAGATTCCGTAAAGTTGTGCCAATGAGGCTAATGCCATCTATACCCGGGGTAGATACACTTATTATGTATGTGCCTATCTCAAGTCAGAAGCCTGTAATTCAGGGGTTGTTGTTTTGTGCTGTCAGTCATTTTCGCCTCGTTTTAAATGTTTGACATTTTTCATGTTGAGGCCTGATTTGAGTTTTGCCCATTATGGAAGGCCATATACATTGACCTATTATTGCTAACGTTCTTTTAATTTAGTCGCTTGTGGATAATTGTCTCATTTGCAGTCATACCACATCTTATTTTCACATACATACCTCTAATGTCACATAATACAATAATACAAAGATTTATTTTCGGATGTACTTCGATTTTTCTTTGTAGAGAAAACTGGCTTACGGTCTAGAATTAAAAGTGAGAATAGGGATTAAAACGATTAACAGTTTTTAGGTGTCAAACCACCATATCACCCACTTCAATTTAGAACATATGTAAAAGAAGCCCTTCCCTGACAAAAAAAATATTGCTTTTGATGTCATTGTCTACTTAAAATACAAACAAATTAGCAGAGATGAAACTTTTGATGAAAGAGAAATATATGTAGACCATTTTGAATCAAAATTTACTTGTCCATGATTTTGCGTTAAATTGAGGATCAATGCGCTCCATAGTAAACTTATTGAAGATTTCCAGAAAACCAGGGGTTATCGTTAGTAGCGTTTGACTTCCGAACGATGGTGTTTCACTGCAAGACTTTAAACATTGGTTGAATATTGGCATATATAAAGGTGATACATGTACAATTCAGACTATGCCTAGCTTCTATGAAGTTAAACTTAAGGTAGACTATTTAGAAAGCTGTGAAAATTGAAAAATTTATATAAGGGCTTGAACTGGTGGTCTGACACCTTTTGATGATGTCATTGCGCGCAAACCGAGTTTCTGGAAAACCTATACCAGGTGTGATGAAGTCATCTAGTTTGTTGAAAAGTTTCTTATATAAAACATTTAAGAGCGTTTAAACCAAATTGGTATAAACCAATTTTGACAGAAAGTGTTGCAATCTAAGTTGGTTTAAGTACTGTTTTCCAAATTTATAGATTGAAAATTAACATTTACTTTTAGAAGTGACATACACTCATATTGTTAATTAAAATAAATAGTGATATCGCATCTTAGAAGGACGTACTAAGATATCATTCAAATTTCAACATATTTAATATTTTCAAACATAAATACCAACACGAAAATAAATGTTTAAGTCAAAAGACGACGAATTCTATCATCTTTCTACTATGTTCAATTTGAAGATAATGCAATATCACCATTGCGTAAATCTTGCTGGTATTAATGTAATGATTAATTTCACAGCAGGCATTCGTATTTTAATCAATCCCAAAACTAAAGAAATTTTTTAAACTTAGCCTTATTAGATACAAACTTAATGTGATAGTTGTAAGAACTCATTTGCTACCCTTTGAAATGGACCTCAGTTCTTGTAGGTTTTTATACAATTGACATAGGTTGATGGGAGGGTTGATCTCATAAAAAGATATACAACCCCGACATATTCTTCCCGTGTCTGTATCAAGCAAGGAGCCACACATACAGTGGTTATCGTTGGTTATTGTCTGTAATAATTGTTTTTTCGATAATGTTGTTTTAAAAACCTGTGCCGTTAGTTTTTTCTTTTGAATTGTTTCATATTATGTCATTCCAAGGCCTTCTAAAGCGTACTGCGCAGTATGGGGTGCAATTAATTTTGAAGGATTAACCCAGTGACCTGTAATTATTCACCTTTTTGTCCTTTGGTCTAGTATTGATATTAATCTAAATAGCAATTATACCACATCTCCTTATTTTATTTTTTACCAAATACTACTAGGGGGTGTTTAACGCCCTTGACTACCCAATGTGGGTCCCACACGGTCGGTCATTTTTACCAAATGACCAATTATGTTTCAGAAATTGAAGTGACGTATGCATTGTCTTAAGAAGCACACATAAAGACAGCGAATATTACGTATGTACAATAGAATAGCATAGAAATACTTTAAACAGAAAAAAATGTGCACAAACTTTAAAAGCTTTTGCTGTACATATACATGCATACCTGTTACTTTGGGTATGTATTTCGTTACTTTAAACAAATGTAAATTAAAATAAATATGAACTGAAAAAGCATTTGCAATAATATAAACACAATATTTTTTTCTACCTTGATTGTCTGAACAAACAGTACATTTACTAGTATTCTCAAATAAGTAAAAAACGCACTTTATCTTTACGAAAAAGTATAAACGAGGTGCAATACTACCAGCAATTTTATCATAACAGAATATTTATTTAAAGAATGGTTTTAGATGTTCTTTTTACATAGATATTGATTTTACCAAAATGAACGTTTTAAAAGTCATTTTACAAAATTAAGCTTATTTGTGACGACAAAATGATTAGATGCCAAATTATAGTCACTGTGGCAATAACAAACCTGAAATTGATTTGCTGGTTGCAAAAACAGCTCCTTGTAATGCCAGTAATTTCCTTGGCTATTTGACTTTCTAAAGATGATCCGATTTGATCCTGAAGTATTGATTATCACCTGCAATTCTCCGATGCTGTCCCCAAACATGTGGTAGTAGAAAGACAAACATAGCTGTGTGTCTGCAAATATAATTTGTATAATAATAATACTTTATTCAAAAGTAATACAGCTGATGGGATACATACTTGTACAATAAATATTCTTTGAATCAGCGTCATGTTAATAACAATCATTACACAATAAACACATATGGCGGAGAATGACAATAATCATATGATGAATAAGGAATAAAACTGCATATTACAAATTGGTTCAATAATGAACAAAAAATTACCTAAATTATTTAGTTCTTTCACATTTTGAATTGAAAACAACTGTTTAAGTTTAAACGTTGATGGTTTTCACTAATAATATTTGTTAATATTTTGTTTTCGAACATCAATATATCTGTTGCATTCTAAAATAAAATGGTATTCATCTTCAATAATATTGCTATTGCACACAGTATAGTACATAACCTTTTTTCTCTACATTGTAATATCTTCCTGTCTCTATATTGATACTTTAGGCAGATATACGATATTGAACATATATAAGGTTCTTACATTTGATTGACAGGTCTATATTTTGTAGTCTACATGGTTGGTAAAGTGTATTTTATCAACCACATTTCTCAAAGCGGACACACATAACATTTTTGGCTGGTATTTATCTTAGTGGATTGATTAATTGATTAATTTCTTTAAATGACAAGCAAACATAAATGTCTTCCAGTTTGGAATATAAAGAACCTCGCAAGGTTAACCATAACACAAAAAATAAACGTTTGTGAGAGATGTAAAAATACAAAAACTTCAAACTCTAGATGACCGAAAGAGACTTAAAAAGAACAGTCGATTTTATCAAAGTACAATTTTGCCTAAAGGTGTTTGAACCTTGGTTTCTAAATGATTTCTTAATTTATCAATGGGAAATCACAGCCATATAATTCTCTCATTCCAATTATTACCCCGCAGTTATATACCGAAGCACACATTTAATACGATATTATCAACATCACTTCTAGGTATGCTATATAAACACGATGTAAATATAATATTGTCGACGATATGAACGACGCAAATGCAAGGTAGTAGATTATCTATATAATATAAACACGATGGCACAGTATTGACAAAATTGGTATGTCGAACAATGTGAACGATGTAGACGTAAGGGTGCAGACTATGTAAACAGTACGTGTAATCATTATGTTGACATGATATTGTGAACACTGCGATTTCGACGGTTTTAACTATGATAACACAATGGTGTACAATAGATATACAATATAAACTTAATTTTGACAAGATATTGTCAACATCGCAATGTCAACGATGTGAACGATGTAAACACAAGAGTATAAAATTGGTATACAAATTACAAACATGATAATGACACGATATTGTTGATATTGTGATGGATAAAAGTAGTTTTGAAGAAACGGAACTTGATGTAGAATCGATGTGTACACGGCATCGTCGACAATTTGATTTACAATATCTTTGAAACTTCGTCCATTGAACATCGCTCCTAGAAGTAGTAATAACTGGATTTACCGATACCAGCAATCATTGACAAAGACCATGTTTCGGGAATATTTGTTAATATGTTGGACATATTTGGAAGAATTGGACATGTAAGGACTAAGCAGAAACGTTTAGAGGAAAGGATATGCTTGCCAACAGTTTATTTATTTTACACATGCATACAATTTACAAATAAAACAGTATAATTTGTTTATTCAAGCATAACCTTTCTACTTAGCCAAAAGACTTTCTGGACTGTAAATACCTAATTGCCTTCTCCATTAAACTGTTTAGAAAACGTTAATGTAATTACAACCATTGGTTCGGTGTACCTTTGCTTGTCCCTATGGGTATCACCAGCAAGTAGCCAGTGCTTTGGGTTCTGACACGAAAATACAGCTATTGTTTTATTGACATTTTTGATTAAAGATTTGGTGGAACATTCAAGTGTAAGGATTGTATCTCCATTATGCATAATGCATAGCTCTTATTCATTGCAGGTTCGGCTTTTCTTTTGTTTCATTTTGAATTTATCTGCGCTTCAGCTTTTATATTTTGTTTTGGATTTTCAAGTATTTTTGCTTATAGCATCACTGCAGAGACATAAATTATCGAAATGCGCATCTGGTGCAATAAATTGGTACCATTATTGTATTATCTATTTCTTTTATTAAATCAGTTTTTTTATGCTTATGTATAATATATTACAAAAGAATAACATGAAATACAGGAATGGTGCTGGTGGACTATCAGTTCCTCTAGTAACATACGCTCAATAGACTGTTATTTGGTACTGGTATGACTTTTAAAAAGTACAAAATACCTGTAGATAGCAAACTGGAAATGAGACGTGCATTTTGTCCTAAATTCATAGTAGACGCCTCAATATACATGTAGTATTTGCCACCTATGGCACTTTCAGGTCCTGTATCCTCTGATGGTGTTTTGTTCTGAAGATTAAACAATTACAGAGAGTCAGATAAACTAAAAAATCCGAAAATTTGGCATAACACTTACATTCATGTCAACTTTTGATATGGGAAAGTAAATTTTCGTGACAAAATTGTCAATCCATTTTCCATTTGGACACTTAAGAATTTTTTGTAGACACTAAATCATTTTTCTTTTGGACATTTAAATATATTTTTCTTTTAAACATCTAATAAATTCCGCTTTTGGACACTTAATCATTTTTGCCTTGAACACTTAAATCATTTTCGCTTTGGACACAAGCATCAATTTCCTTTTGGACACAAACATAGTTTTCCTTTTTGACACATACATATTTTCCCCTTTGGATACTTAAAGCAATTTCCTTTGGACACATAAATAGTTTTCCTTATGGACACATAGATATTTTTCCATTTGGACACTCAAATCATTTTTCTTACGAATAGATGATTCCTTAACCGGTCTAATGCGATATCGATGTACATTTGAACAATGGTCTGACCATGAGCATCACTGAAAAACTTCATACTGTTGAATAACACTTGCACTTTAAATTCACACATTTATTATTTATCTTTTGTTATCACTTGAAATTGGATAATGTATTATTGTTTTAGTATGTCCTATAATTGAATTAAACTAGTAAATAATACCAACATGTTACAGGAAAGCGCTTTGATTTCTGTGTTTCTTTTACAATTTTATAATCATTTAAGAGTTGCTGAAGTTCTAATAGTCAATGGTGTAAACGGGAGAAATCTGACAAAAAGTCACTTGATTCCTATTTAAATGAATGTCTGAATATTGTTGATATTCGCATATCACATTTCGAAAATAATTTAGAAACAAATAAAAGAGTAAGTAATACTCCCATTTCTAGGATTAAAAACAAAATTCAAGTACTATCAAAGCGTCTTGTGTTCATACCGGCCGACAAAGCAGCCAACAATGTGGTGGTGGTATGACGTAAATACTACACTACTAAGAATGAAATTATACATTCAACTACATTCGAGGCCGTACGTTCCACAGAGAGTCAAATAGTAAATAATTATGTCACTACCACAGCTCAGCTTAAGGCCTCCTCTGAACATTTGAAGGTCTTCACTATGTATTGGTTACCTAAACTACACAAAAAACCCGTAAAATATCGTTTCATCTCGGCCTCTAGTAAGTGTTCTACTACTAATTTTTCGGTGCTTTTAACGAGTTCCTTAAAACATACGAAAACAGTGGAATTAACCATTTTAGGAGTGTAAAAAAATTCTTTGGATGTTTTAGATAAATTACGTGCTTTGATGGTCTTTTTGATTCGGTTGACAGTTTTGACTTTTCCACTCTTTATACTACACTTCCACACAATCTTATAAAACAAAAATTTTCCTATCTAATTAAATGGTCGTTTGATAACTTGATTGCAAATTTATTTGCTGCAACTCATATAAAGCCTTTTTCTCTAATGAGAAAGGTAAATATGCCAGATATACTTACTGGAGGTGTGAGGAGATGAGTAAAGCACTAAATTTTCTCCTTGACAACATTTATGTACGTTTCGGCAATTAGGTTTATCGACAGGTTGTAGGTATTCCTATGGGCACCAATTGTGTCCCTTTAATAACAGACTTGTTTCTTTACTGTTATGAATCACATGTTATGGCTAAACTCAGTAAACAACGTCTAAATTCCATTTAATTGATAAATTCAACAACACTTACCGTTATCTTGATGATATTTTTTCGTTAGATAATCAAGAATTATCTAAATATACTGCTGAAATTTACCCAAAGGAACTTACTTTAAATATATCAAATATTAACAGCAATATCTGTCCTTTCCTAGATTTAGATATTTGAGTATTACACAAGACACTCTACACACAAATTTAAAAGGGATGATTTTTCTTTCCCCATTGTTAATTTTCCTTTTTTGGACGGTGAGGTTCCTTTGGCACCGTCTTACGGTGTTTAGATATCCCAACTCATTCGCTGTGCTCGTGTTTGTAGTAACGTTTTGTATTTCAATGAGCGCAATCTATATATTACTATGTCGGGGCCTTTATAGCCGACCATACGATATGATATTTTCTCATTGTTGAAGGCCTTACGGTTGCCTATAATTGCTTACATCCACTTCATTTGAACTTTGGTGGATATATCATTCCACATCTCCTTTTTTATACTAGTATCAGTAGCGTTCTAACGGAGATCATACAAAACATTGGAAAGTTATATTTACAAAAAAAAGGGGACGCGTGTAATTTTTGCCACTAGCGTTTTTACTGTATGCTTAACCATAAAAGTCATATGAAGCGGTTTTCAAGTAATTATAATGTTATCGAAATTATTGAAACAATCCATAAAATTGAGAATGGAAATGGGGAATATGTCAAAGAGACAAAAACCCGACCAAAGAGCAGATAACAGCCGAAGGCCACCAATGGGTCTTCAACGCAGCGAGAAAATCCCGCAGCTGGCCCTAAATAAAATTGTGTACTGGTTCAGTGAAAATGAACGTCACACTAAATTCCAAAGACTAACAAAGGCCAGAGGCTCCTGACTTGGGACAGGCGCAAACATGCGGCGGGGTTAAACATGTTTTATGAGATCTCAACCCTCCCCCTATACCTCTAGCCAATGTAGAATGAAGAAACACATACCAATACGCACAGTAAAACTCAGTTCAAAAGAAGTCCGAGTCCGATGTCAGAATAGGTAACAAAAGAAACTAAGCAAAATGACTATGATACATAAATTTACAAAGGACTATGCATATATACTAAACTAAGTCCTGCATGCACGTTGTTTTTACATTTATTACGAATCCATAACGTATTATCGACAAATAATATTTCTTTCAGTGATTGTTGATCGCAAGCTACTTAACTTTCGAGTTTGTTGTCGAAGTTTTCCGGATGGTGACATTGAAAACAATCAACCTATAGCACGTGGAGCACTTGAAAAATAAGTGAATTTATATACCCTTGACAATTTGTTTATATTTGCTATGCGTTCGCATTTGTCAATTAAACTTTTTCTTAACAGTTGTTAAATGAGTTGGGGTATTTAATTTGTTCTTTAAGAAACATTTGTTACTATTTACCTTCCAGTGCATATTTGTTTACATCCTTTCATCACAGTTTTCCTCTCGCACTCGCGCTGTGGGGGGTCGAAGTTCTAAAGAGAGGTCTCGTAGTTAAGGTCACTGCATACGGGAAAATATCGGCGAATAAGAGTATGGGAAATCAATAATTTAATAGCAGTACATTTATGAAGATTTTTTTTTATAATATAACGGATTTTATTTTACAAGAAAGTCCACTTACACTTGTTTTATAGTAAAACTTAGCCATTCAAGTATATAAAACATATTCAACTTTTTAATGATTTGCAGTTTCATATGCGCTTGTGTCTTGTTCAAGATCGTTTGCTATCTCATTGACGTATAATACACCAATCGTTTGTTCATTAAATTTTGAGGGTTTTATGCGAGAAAAATTATCACAATCTTTTTCATTTTTATGTTTACTGGCATTAACACTGATTAATGAATTAAATCATGAAAACATTTGCTGACTATAAAGTCTCATTACTAAATTCATCAAAATGTGTGTGTCAAGTGCCTTTAAGGCAAATATGAAAATACATACATATCGTCTTGAATTACTCACATAATATTTAATCCAGTCTGCATAGTCTAACCCTGACCTGTCATTGTAGAACTGACATTTTGGTTCTTCAAGATATTCATATGTACAAGCACTGATTACATCTACAATACCAGAAAAAGGCTACTTTTACCAACATTGATATCATCAAAAATATTTTCTTGTAGAGATAATACATAAATTCCTTGTCGAGGAATAGAGCTCCATCTACCATACATTATTACAATAATCTAAAGGTGCGTTTTCGGGAATAAAAACTTAGTTTCGCATGTGAAATATCGAATTGATGGCTTTTAATTGTGTTCTTGTTATATTTTTTCTCATCATAAAATATCCATTTACATATCATCTAAATATCTGCAATGTTTCATTTCAGTTTTATCTGCTTTGTCACGGAGTTTGTGTAATCATGATGGTTTATCAGTTTCTTTCTCTTTATATTCACAGAAAAAAACCTCAAAGTGTATAATGAAAATTCAATCGGTCTCATCGCTGTTTCATTTCAATGTTGTGTAAAAAAAACTCTGATTAATTTTTTTTTATGTTGCTACAAAAAATTGCACTGGACCATTAAATGCAAGTTAAAGTCGATTTTATTACTGTTCAAGGGTTATTATCTAAAGAATTGAATTGGTTAACAGACCTCGTATTAGTTTTACTAAAAAATGTTTTTCCATTAACGGTTATGGAAAGATTTTATTTCTATAATCATTATATCTTTACACTTACATTTAATGATTAGAATAGAGAGCTGAATTTCGTTTAATAAATGATGTGCTTTATGCTTTTTAACAACATAGTGGGTTATTTATAGTTTATGCATACATGTTTTCTTTAGTTCGATATTGGCGTATGTATTGTGAAGTCGTGATGGTTTAGCAGTTTGTTCGTCACAGAAAAAATCTTCGGAGTGTGTATTGAAAATGTCTGTAAATTAATTTAATCTTATCGCCTTTTGATTTCTATGTTTAGGATGTTCGCTCCTCTGTTTAAAAAAGCTTTTTAAAAGACTGTTATAAATTAAAAGTATATAAGTAATTGATCTTATAAAGTAGAAAAATAATAATTATAAGGTATAATCAATTGAAATTTTGGCGGGAAATGATTCTCTCTGGACTGTTCATACGTTTATCATTGGCACCTTTTTTCTTTAAAAAACTTTGAAAAAAAATAACAAGGATTTTATATGCTTTCAAAACTGAATTTTTTAAACTATACGTGATAAAGCTATGAAAAGAAAAGTAGGGGTAAGCGGGAAAAATTTGTATTTGCACTACATTGATAAAAGTAGAGGATTCCGAAAAAAAGTAAAAAAACAAGAGTAGCGAACATCCTTAAAATGTGTTGATGTTGCTACAAAGGATTGCAATGGACCATGAAATGCAAGTTGAAGTCGGTTTTATTATAGTTTGGATAGACTGTTCAAGAGTTATTGTTCCTCTAAACATGAAATTAAAAAAAATGAATTTGTTAACATACCTCGTATTAGTCGACATTTTATCAATTCAGTTTCTGTCTTTGTTGTATTCTTTGTAGCAATAAGTTTTCTTTAGAATACATATATTTGTAATGAAAATTCATCACACAATTATAAACCAAGGTTAAGGTGTTGAAAACGAATTCTATCATTAAGAGAAATCGATACAAATTCAAATTATATTGTCATTTTTGTGATAAATGGAAATGTACATATATCGAAAGTATATATGGTTAACGTGTTATTCTCTAAAAAGTTAAAAAAAAAATGCTACACTTTTATAAATCTTTTCATCTAAAACTGGTTACCAACTTGCTCTTTTCTATTCTTCTAATTTACAATCAGTGATTTAAAAACAATTCCTGTTTTCAAAGGGGTTGTTTTCTATAATTGTCACCTAGTCATTTTAATTGCTTAGAAGAATGTACTGCAGTTGTCCTTCATTTTTGCAAAATATGTCACAGCTTACCTGTGGACTTCATGGCTTTTGACCAAACACCTAAAACAAGATTTTTTTGCAAATAAAATATATAAATGAGAATCTGTCTGAATTTTTCGAGTTGGTATGGTGTTAATTTGAAACATAACAATTATCTCAAAAGGACAATATATATAAGTTGTTAAATGTAAAAGTGTAAGTACTTATACCAGAGGGGTATACCCCTTTGTAAGTACTTATAACAGAGGGGTATAACCCTTGATACTCACAGTTATTCATCTACCTATCAACTGTCTAGAAGGAAACTACGATGTTATCTTATAAAAGCTATAAAAACGCTTGAATTTGTACAAATGACCATTTATCCTGGAAACACTCTCACTCATGATCACATTCGGAAGGTTAATGAATCACAGTGAAACTAAGCAGAGAATATTCAGCCCTACCATGTAGAAAATAGTAGGTTCACGAAGGGTCAATATTGACCCTATAATTCTGTGAAATTTAAATTCAATAATAAATGCTGTGACCTATAGTGGTTTGCTTTTGTGGGTTTTGACTTGGATGGAGGGTTGTCTCATTGGCACTCATGCCACATCTTCTTATGTCTATTAACAGTTAACATCTGATGACAAAATATGTAAAAATGTTGGACAAATACAAAATCAACAATATCAGACGCATAAGAACTCTTATTTGTTTTTGTCGAAGGGTGCGGCCAAAGTTTTTTTTTAAAAAGAATTAGAACTTAGATATGCATGAAAATAAGCAAGCTGGCTAAATCCTGTAAAATATCATACCTTTGAAGCTGTCAGATTGATTAAAATGAAAATCAGACAGCAAAAGGGTCTAGTTAATCTAAATATTTAAGATCATAATTATGATTTTTTGCATATGATATTACAAAGTTCAGTTTTAGGGTCAAGGCTTTTATGGCCCTACTACTTTGAAAAAAAAACATGTTTATCGTTGACTGTTCACGGGGAGTCATATGACAACGTGTTGACATCTTTGATAGATACGGAACAGTAGGGATATACGAGCGGAGATACAGGTTAAGACATATTACTCGCAACAGAAGTTTCAACAAAATGCTTTCTCATCTAATTCCGGCGTGGTAACTTTCACTAGGTTTCAAGTTAATTTTAAAGTACAACTGTAATTTACGTAAATCACGTCAGAATTCCAAAGACAGTGTGATCCTGAGTAAATAATAATTATCAATGAAGGAATATATATATTTTGTTATCGCAAACCTTAAGATGCAAAATATGTGCAAACTAAATGGCATATATAAAAATAATTAAAAAGTAATTTACCATTTTAAATGCAATCTATATAACAATAGCTGCAATAATCCCAAAACAAAATAATTCACACCAATACATTAACTTTAGAATTATAAGGTTTAAAGTAATATTTCACAAGAAAAAATGTATGTACTGTATGTTCTACCAACTACACAAACTTTTTTTGTTAGATTTATTGGTATATTTGCTTGATTTTTTAGCCAGTTGTGTTGTATGTCTGTGATGTATGTTTACACAGTTTTTGGCTGCTAAATGCCAAATGTTTTCACATTAATCTGTTATATCTGTTTGGGTTGATTTCACAGATTTGTCAATATAACGTAACTATAAACAACTGTCATGCATGTGGGAGATTTAGCTAGCTTTAAAACAAAGTTTAACCCATCGTTTTCCTCGGAAAATGCCTATAGAAAATGCCTATACCAAGTCAGGAATATGAACAGTTATTTACCATTCGTTCCGTTGGTTGATAAAGTCCAACGTTCGATTTTGTCAGTTATGATGGACTTCCCTTGTTTGAATTTACCTTGAAGTTCGATATTTTTATTATACATTTTTCACATAGTATGATGATTTTAACCTTTTTGTAGTAGTACTAATTGTCTTGAACAAAACATCAGTTTGGCCGAAAAAGTTACAGCAATACATGCATAGTCCAGCTATTTTGTACAAAAACCATTTAAAGTCAATTCATTTCAGTGGCTGCAAAAATGTCCTAATCCGACATGCCGTAGAGTATGTTTTAACTGTATTTACGGTTTTGCGTAATTCAAAAATACATTTTTCCATTAGACAAAGTCCGAGCAATTTTCAAGTATATATTTTTGTAGAAGTTATCGAGGACACAAAGCTAGTAAACTCATATCAGGTTTATGATTTAGTACGCAAGACGCGTGTTTCGTCTCCCCACGTAGGCTCAATAGAATTGAATTCAAATAGTTAAATTGTTAAATAAAATTTCTGTTTAGTGTATCCATGGCAACAATGTATTTATTTATTATAACATATTGCTAAAGAGTATGTGAAGATGTCAAAGGATTTCCTATTTTCAGTCGGAAATAGCTTTTTAAAAAATTTCCTTTGAATGATACAATTATAAAAAGCATACACATGTATATATCAAGCGATTGAATAAAAATCGCATGCTTTTCACATCATTTCTTTTCTAAATTAGAGTAAAAGACTTCGTGTGAAATAAGTGTTAGTAAACATTATATTAAATACTGGACTTATAAACAGAATAAATATACAAATACGGACTGTCAAGCAGGAAATAGCCAATAAAACATACAAAAACTAGCTTGATGTTCATATAAACCCACTTTGAAGGCTCACAAAAGAGCTATTGAACAAAGAGTTCCAAGTTGTAAAGTTGCAATCATCCGTTGGAAAATTTTATGGACGCCATTTCGAGTTGGTTGACCATTATTGAATATCAGTTTCACAGAATACGACGCAAATGTTCCAATCGTCATAACCACAATCCGTTCCCTTTTGCCCCGAATGTGACCTACCGAATTATACTCATCACCGGGTTTGTACTTACATGAGCAACACGACAGGTGCCACATGTGGAGCAGGATCTGATTACCCTTCCGGAGCAACTAAGAACAACCCAGTTTTTTTGGTGGGGTTCGTGTTGCTCAGTCTTTAGTTTGCAAACTTTCAACAGAGGCAATTTCTTGGCATGAATGCATAATTACTTATTTAGAATTTTTTAGCATTGTCAATGTATTCGAAACTTTACCTGAATAATCGTATTTAAGACATAAGTGTTGATTGAAAGATACGTTATCAATCGATTAAAAATCTTTGCGAGGTAATGGAAATCTCATTAATGTTAAGGTCGTAAGAAAGTCTCTAAA